TATTCTTCTAATAAACATGCCAATGACCAAGAGAGTTCAATTCATAGAAGAGCCTTGCAGTATTAGCAGTAGTAGTCATTGTTTACAAATTAGTGCTTTCTCTCAAGAGCACTCGACTGGAACTAAATTTTCCGGGGGCATGTGTGTGTGTGTGTATATATATATGATAATTATGTTTTGACACATTCCACTTATCAAACAACGTCATTAATAAAACCAGATTTTATTACAATTAAATCTACAAGAGTAAGACAGAATACAAATTTTGTTAATCAGACATGTGCCATGTCAGTATAATGTAAATTTTGTTCAAATAAAATCCTTTTTTATTTGATTTGGCCAATTCTTCACAAAAGATGTTAAAATAATTTTTTTCAAATTCTCTTATGCATTGTACATTCCATTGAATTCTCATCCAAATTTAAATCATTTCTTTTTTTTTTTTTTATCTATTCACCCCAATAGACTGTCACTGCTTGGTGTGGACCTCCATGTGCACATTTAAATGGGAAGTGTATATTTACACACAGCCTATATCTGATATTTACCACTTTTACGCATAAATATATGATACCTTAAAACTATATATATATATATATATATATATATATATATATTTGGTGTGTGGCCGAGTGGTTAGAATCTTCGCTTACTGACCATGAGACCCAGGTTTGTCAGGAAGGAGACTTCCTGATGTTATCAGTCTGGAGGGGAACAATCCCATCGTGTGGCACCTTTGAAAAGTGCCTGAAAACCATACCATGGGTTGACCCAAGCCTTGTGAGGGAAACTGGGTAGATGGAACTCTTAGGAGCCGTCGATAGCTGTTCTAGCATGAAATCACAAGTCATCATGATCGAGGGTTTGATTGTGCTGGCCTTGTTCAAATTGTTGATCATGCTAGATAATATGTTCACTCCCAGAAACTGTAACTAAGGTCTGCTCAGCATAGTTGCAGTATAAACCACAGGGGCTGGTCCTGTGGGTGTTGAATAAATACAAATGTGCCTGAGCAAGCGTCTGTAATAGGGACTGGCTAGCCGCCCTAATAGATGGGTATCCTCAAATATGAATGGTCAGCTATTATTATTTTATATATATATATATATATATATATATATATATATATATATATATATATATATATATATTATATATATTATATGCCTGGTACTTATTAGAAACTGCTCAATATCAGAGATAGAGCTAACATATTTGGTTGGATTGATATGAGTTTGTGATCCTGGGTTTCACGCTTTTGAACGTCAGACAAATCCAGGGTCACAAAACTATATATATATATATATATAAATATATATATATATATATATATATATATATATATAGTACAGGTAATAAATCCATGGGTGTATAATCCAAGTAGATCCTAATAATATAAAATATTAAAACTGATCCACAAAAAGAGCTCAATATATTTATTATAACAGAGCATATAAATTACATAATAGAGAAATACCAAATTAACTCATGAGTATAGACGATTTCAACTAATGTCAATGCATTAACATTTTTTGACTCAAATGGTGGACTGATTCTGTGTTAGAAACTTATTCCAGATAGATAGATAGATATGGAGATAGATAGAAGTCAATGAACGTAGATCAATATGGAGAGAAAAGATTAAAGTTTTTATAATTTTAAATAATACTCATCTTTTTCACAAAAATACATATCACATAAGTAGTATAAAAAGATATGCACTTGGCATGAAGAAAAGAAACTTTAAATAATTCCTGAACAAGTTTTCAAAATCAGGCATGAATTGAGGTCAATTTAAATTCCTGTATGATTCTAAAAATATTTTTTTTGTGTCACACAAACAAGCAACAAGTCACAAATATGAGCAAGTAGCCATGACCTCCTAGCAAGGGCAAGGGGCCCGTGCTTGACTTTCCAGTTGAGGCTAGAAAGTGCATTTCATACAGATCTTGTCGGGAAAATTTGTTTCAACTTAATGAAAGATTATTTAATTTTGAGAAATTCTTTTTTGAAGCACTTAATAATGGAATGATTAGTAGAGAGAGAGAAAGAGAGAAAGAAGATTGAATGAGTGAGAGATAAACAGAAAGCGACAACTGGAATCGATTGCACACAAACAAGACCAAGCCTCTAAAAACTTAAAAAAAGTTAAAAGTTAAGTGATCCATGAAAATTTCATGGGATTCTGATGAATAATTCTTAAGTTAATGATTAAAAGAAGCTTATGACAGGTTCTATGACAATAAAATATTCATAGAAATTTCCCTATCATATCGTTAAATAAATTAAATATTTGAGATTAACAACTTTAAATAAATATTGCAATAAGTCTTCTCTAATTGGAACTTAAAATAAGAATAAAACTTAAAACGGATTTGCATGTTTAATGTGAAATTGGTGCAAGTTGGTTTATTGGATTTTTTTTTTACCACATATCAACCCCTGTAGGAATTATTTAATTATTATTACGAGTTTTAACCCATAAAAATTTCAGTTTTCTTAATTTAAATTTCTGATGAATCTAAATTCTTCAGTTAATGATTGGATCAGTTCTATGACAATAAAATATCCGTCAAAATTCCTTTATCACATTGTTAAATATTTGAGCTTAATAACTTTAACAAAAATATTGCAATAACAATTACAAGTATGAATACTGGGGTACTTTGATGTGGTGTAATGGTTAACAATCTTTTCTCGCTAGAACAATTGCGACTGACTAGTGTGTTCGATCCTCAGTGGGTGCTCCATACTTTCGGCCTTGTACCACATCTAAGCTATGCATTTTGGCAGAATTATATTTCAATTGAATGAGTTTTAACCTGTGAAAATTTCAGTTTTCCTAAATTTCTGATAAATCTTAATTCTTCAGTTAATGATTGAATAAGCTCATGACTAGTTCTACGACAATAAAGTAACCGTAGAAATTCCTCTATCATATCATTAAATATTTGAGATTAACAACTTTAATAAAATATTGCAATATGCTGGTCATTATTTTAAGTAAGGGGGTACAAATGAAAATATTTGAAATTGACAATTTTTTCCCATCTCACTAAAACAGATTTTAAACACTTCTATCTCCCTAACTTACTTTCTTCCTTCCTTCCTTTCTTACTGAAACCAAGTAGCGTCTTTGATATGTCTTTGCACACAATCAAAAAAGGAATAGGCCTTAAATATTTATGAGATACTGACAGGAGACATTAATCACATCTCTCATTCTTTGCCTTAATTTTCTCACTGAAATCAAATACATCAGCACGTCTAAGCTTACAGCACATGGTATTCCCAGACAGTCATCCATCCAGGTTCTGACCAGGCTCAACATTGCTTAACTTCAGTGATCAAATCTGTATAGATGAAGATGAAACCTGAAGCAACAGAGATGTGGCTCTACAGAAGGTTGCTGAGAATACCATTGACTAAGCAGGTGAAGAAGGACCAAAGTTTAGAGATTATGGAAAGGACATTTGTACTTAGAATCATAAAGATCTGGTGGAATTTTGAGGAGCTTTTTGCAACTGCTTTATCTCACACTGTCTGCTGATCTGAGATGGAACAAATACATTGAATCAATAGCTTCATCTACTGCAAGGAAAGTTGGTTCTCTGTGTCACGCCAGAAAGATTTTTCTTGTCCAAGTCCATCCTACAAATCTATAAACCAACCATTCGCTCTTGCATTCACTGTTGAAATGGTTAAATGTAGCCATCTCTCCTACTCCAATAGCTTCATGTCTTGCACTTACCACCCTTCCTCTTATTTGCTTCCTTGATAGCTATAATCTCCAACTATTCAAATGCAACGTCAATCGACATCTCCAGATGCATTGATCTATTCCCTGTCCTTTGCTTTATCCTTTCCTCTATCATGCCTCTTTACTCTTGCTCCCACTCTCTGTAACTCCTTGTGTGCTAGTGGCACTTCCCCCTTGCTTGGGGTGAAAAGCTTAAAAAAAAAAAAAAACAACTTAATAAGGAAAGAAAGCTTGGAAAATTTGACACTCACAGGACATATTGAGGGCAAGAAGGCCAAAAGGTAACAGCGAGTAGTTGTAATGGGAGCAAAGCATGGATTGGAAACAATGGTAAAGAGATTGAAATTGCTTTTAAGCTGTAAAGTATGCATAATTCAAAAATACGCTCTTAAGTACGCGGCCAGAGGGGGAAGTCAGTGATGTAATTTGACTTGGTTCATCAGGGAATTTCGGGTCTTTCAACATCATACACCCCATCACCAAGTCAACCCAATTAGGGGAGATTGATCCCTGATTCCTCCTCACAATCAAACGCTAACAGCTACTCTGGCCTTTTTAAAGAATGAGACAAAGAAAGACCACGTTTTTGGCACACCCAATTGGATGTTTGTAACACCCAATCTGCTGCGCGAACTGACTTTTAAGTGGTCCATAGTGGGGACTGGCTTAACTAGTGATAATTTTGGACATTGTCGTTAGTTGTTTGTCTACTGAACCTCTCGATGTTGTTTCAAGGATCTCACCGATGTTCATGTTGAATGCAAAGTTGATATAGATTACTCTTAAATATGTTTTCAGTCATTTTTCCCCCAATTTATTCATTGTTGTGGATTTGCCAGATAAAAACCTAAGAGCCAAGAAAGGAGTCATTTTTTATGAAAATTGCTTCCCCCACCCCCATTTATTATATCAGTGTTGTAATTAATGGAGGAAAGTGATACTCTTCCAATAATTTCTCCCATTACAGGCATTATCATATCCATGATATAACAACACCTTATATCCCAGATAGAACAAAATGGCTGAAAGGGAAAGGAATGAAAAACATGCTTTGTTCTTTGAGGGTTGCTTCTAGCAAACAGATGAAAAGCCAATATTTCTACAATAATAATCCATTTAAAAGATCTTTTTTCCCTCTTATTCTCATGTTCATAATTTATTTATTGATTTTTTCTTTTAGGTTTGCGTAAAGCTAAGAAATATAACTGGAAAGACACAAATTTGGCCCTTTTTGGATCCGATGTTGAGAAAAATATTAAAAGTAAGTACTTTTCAATTTATGCTGGAATTTTTCAGATAATTATTATTATTATTATTATTATTATGTGCTTTATTATTGACAACTATTCTAATCTTGGATTTTATACAATGTTTCGGCAGTTATACCCTCTGGCCTTCTTCAGGCATCTGTCTTCACACTCTGTAACTTTCTAGGAGTTTTAAATCAAACCATTTAATTAATTCACAGGCATAGATTGTTCTTATCCCATTTTCCATGATTCAGAGATATTTCCTACATGTTATATTAAAAATCTTAATGTCCGAATTCTAAATAATAAAATAAAAATAAAGAAAACATTGGAATGCCAGTTAAATAAATCATTTCTATTTACAAACATATGCTCATGAATTCAAATGAGTTAAAAAGGAGTAAAAATAGTCTTTTGTTGAGCTAAAGTCGTTAGTTGGTCCACAGAAAAAAAGATGTAGCTGAGAAAAGACTTATCAGATTCACTGTCATTGTTGAGATGATTCATTTGAAATCATTGTAATCATGATTGTTAGCAAAGATTCACTGACCACCCAAGCTGTTGTTGTTATAGCTGATTCATTTTAAGTCATTGACACATATTTCTCTCAGTATGCGCTGGGCATAGAGGGCAAGAAAAAGCTATGTGGCCACTCCTACTGAAACTCATATTATGGATTTGCACATCCGAATGAATTTGACCTCTGCTACACTTGGGCAGCTTACATTCAGCTGCAGCGGGTTCATTTCATGGAGCCAACTCAACTGAACAGGTGAATGCCACAACAGATACAGGTACATCTTAGATGCCATTAGATAAGACATTGCCAGACAAACATCCATAGCTATATCGCTACACCTGCAAACCTAAAGTATTGACTCCTGTAGACATTGGTTGTCTGATCTGGTTGGTGTGTGGCATTAGGGTGGGGTGATTTTGGAACCGTGGTATTGCACTCAATTTGAAAGTTGGTATTTGATATGTTAAATAATGATAGAAATATTGTTTGCCAAATTGATGTTTTGTTTTTAGAGGAAACCAGTTTGAAGATTAAGTTTAAAATTCTGGTGATTAGTGAAAGACTTATAGCACAGTCTTATAAAATTTATAATTTACTGAAACTTCACAAACTCTATATGGACAAGAGGCATAGCACAAGAACATTATTATTATGAAATCATTTTGTCGCCAAATAAAATCTTCATTTTCTTCAAAGGGATTTCATACTGAACAATTTAGCGATACTATGATGTAATATGTTATACAGTGCAGTAGTTTTAGTGTGATTTTCAACAAACAATACAAATTTAAAACATTTTGTTTAATAATTTGTACCCAGCAGTATTATAGTGTTATATAGAATTTCATCTAGTTTTTGGTTTTATTAATTATGATCTAACAAATCTTATTCAATGAGTAGCCTTTTTTGTAATCTTTTATAATTATTTTTTTTTTTTTTACACAGTTTTTATTTATCGAATACAGTAAAAAAAATAAAAAAAATAATAATTTGCAGATTTTGCTTGTGATGATTCAGAATTAGAATTCTGATTTGAATATATTTTCTATTCAATGAATCAAAACAAAAGATATCAACTTTATTTTAATTTATTCTTAAAATAGTTAAATTTTGAAGTCACTTTGTAAACAAAAATCTACTGAAATTAGGTATTGCTGTATATTTTTTTAGGTGATTTTTAAAACTAAATGCTCAAAAATTGATAAAATCTATGAATCTAACTTTTGGTCTTAATACTTATGACATCAAACCCCATCTTTCGCACAGCGTGCAATATTGATTTTCTAAAAAAAAAAAAAGAAAAAGAGAAAAATCAAACTTGCCTAGTGTGGCATGCCTGTCCAAATACAAACATTAATCATATGAATAAATAATCACCAGCTTTATTTACGTTTCGGGTAACTTGTCCGCTTCTACTGAACTAGATCATGTGACTTTTCAGCACTATCAGATCCAAGGATTGAACACAACTTCCAATTGGTTAATCTACTTGTCCAGTGGTTCCCAAACTTTTTCTACTACTCTTTTGGTTCCCACACCACATTCCTCATGCTCCAGTGGATGAAGAAACTTCCCCTTGGTAAACAAACTGTTATCTCATCTTCATTGCCATATTCACAACATTTCGGTTTTGTATGCTCTGGCCTTTTATGTCTATATCCACCATGTCTTGAGATGAGGTATTATGATTATTTGCATTATTCTGACTCTTATCCTCACTTCATTGCCATATTCACAACATTTCATTGATGAATGTTTATGTTATATCTCCCATGTCTTGAGATGAGGTATTATGATTTATTCATTATTCTATCCTCATTTCATTGCCATATTTGTCAACATTTCGGTTCCTTTATGTCTATATCTCACCATGTCTTGAGATGAGGTATTATGATTATTTGCCTCATCCTCATCTTCATTTACCATATTCACAACATTTCTCGCCATTGTGATGTCTTGAGATGAAATTATTTGCTTTCTGATCTCCTTCATTGCCTGATTACAACATTTTCTAATGTCTATCTCTCACCATGTCTTGAGATGAGGTATTATGATTATTTGCATTATTCTGACTTTATCCTCAATTGCTATTATTTCCCATTGTATGCTCTGGCCTTTATGTCATATCTCACCATGTCTTGAGATGAGGTATTATGATTATTTGCATTATTCTGACTCTTATCCTCATCTTCATTGCCATATTGTTTCTGCTCTGGCCTTTATGTCTATATCTCACCATGTCTTGAGATGAGGTATTATGATTATTTGCATTATTCTGACTCTTATCCTCATCTTCATTGCCATATTCACAACATTTCGGCCATTGTATGCTCTGGCCTTTATGTCTATATCTCACCATGTCTTGAGATGTCTTATGTCTTATCCTCATCTTCATTGTCTTTCGCCATTGATGCTCTGGCCTTTTATGTCTATATCTCACCATGTCTTGAGATGAGGTATTATGATTATTTGCATTATTCTGACTCTTATCCTCATCTTCATTGCCATATTCACAAATATTTTGGTATGCTCTGGCCTTTATTGTATGCTCTTGAGAGATGAGGTATTATGATTATTTGCATTATTCTGACTTTATCCTCATCTTCATTGTATTCACAACATTTTTTATTGTATGCTCTGGCTTTTATGTCTATATCTCACCATGTCTTGAGATGAGGTATTATGATTATTTGCATTATTCTGACTCTTATCCTCATCTTCATTGCCATATTCAAAACATTTCGGCCATTGTATGCTCTGGTTTTTATGTCTGTCTCTCTATGTCTTCAGATGAGATATTATAATTATTTGCATTATTCTGACGCTTATCCTCATCTTCATTGCCATATTCACAACATTTCGGCCATTGTATGCTCTGGCCTTTATGTCTATATCTCACCATGTCTTGAGATGAGGTATTATGATTATTTGCATTATTCTGACTCTTATCCTCATCTTCATTGCCATATTCACAACATTTCGGCCATTGTATGCTCTGGCCTTTATGTCTATATCTCACCATGTCTTGAGATGAGGTATTATGATTATTTGCATTATTCTGACTCTTATCCTCATCTTCATTGCCATATTCAAAACATTTCGGCCATTGTATGCTCTGGCCTTTATGTCTATATTCACCATGTCTTGAGATGAGGTATTATGATTATTTGCATTATTCTGACTCTTATCCTCATCTTTCATTGCCATATTCACAACATTTCGCCATTGTATGCTTCTGGCCTTTATTCTATATCTCACCATGTCTTGAGATGAGGTATTATGATTATTTGCATTATTCTGACTCTTATCCTCATCTTCATTGCCATATTCACAACATTTTATTAATTGTATGCTATGGCCTTTTAGTCTATATGGTGTCTTGAGATGAGGCATTATGATTATTTGCATTATTCTGTCTTCATTACCATATTCACAACATTTCAGATGCTCTGGCCTCACCAAGATGAGGTATTATGATTATTTGCATTATTCTGACTCTTATCCTCATCTTCATTGATTCAAAACATTTCGCCATTGTATGTTCAATCCTCCTGATGAGATATTATAATTATTTGCATTATTCTGATCGCTTATCCTCAACCATAAACTTTTCGCCATTGTATGCTCTGGCCTTTTATGTCTATTCTCTCTATGTCTTGAGATGAGGTATTAGATTATTTGCATTATTCTGACTTTATCCTCATTGCCAATTCACAACATTTCGTCAGTATGCTCTGGTTTTATGTCTAATAGGTATTATGTTTATTTTGCATTATTCTGACGCTTAAAATCTTCATTGCCATATTCACTATGTCCATCAAATATTCTGAGATGTGGAATTAAGATTACTTTTTATATGCATTATTCAGACTGTCATCCTCATCTTCATTATGGTGGAATGGATTAAAAGCCTTCTTCAGGTTTAGTTTTGAAAACACTTCCATTTCATCCTCCTCAAGGACACAAGTGGAGGACTGATGAGTTCAATACCTGGCTACAGCAGCGTAGAACCACAAACTTGTAGAGTTGAGTTAAAGGAAATAACTGAGACATCCAGAAGAGGCATGGCAAAACTAGAACTTGGTGAAAATATGAAATTCCAATCAAATGAAGAGTGTACAGCTTGGAATAACAATGAAGATGAGGATAACAGTCCAAATAATTCAAATAATGTAAGTAATCATAATACCTCATCTTGGAGATATAGACAGATATTCTCCCTTGGTATTTGGGAAATTGAAAACACCAAGTAATCTTACACTGTAAGCATGTAGTGAGTCTTGATAAAAATATATATAAAAAACAAAAAGAAATAAAATTAAAATACAAGGGGCCTTAACTTATTTATGACTCTACGTAACCTGATTTTCGACATTGGTCAGAACTTACCTACATAAGCACCTACTCCCCTCAAAAAAAAAAAAAAAAAAGCAACACAAACAAGAGATAGCAAATGTAGCACTATGTTCAATATGGCAAGTAGCCGGTGAA